TCCAATATTGCCAACAGTGCCAACCGTAAGTCTTTTATCGTAGCTTTTTATTGGTAGCAGTCAAGTGTATTTTTGAAATACAGAACTTGTACGAACATTACTATACGTGATTACACGATAATAGTGATAGCGCATACATACAATACGTTCGCATTTGAAATATCTTTCGATTACGATCTGACATAACCTGTGGCCGACGTGCCACTGTCTGCTTTATGGCGAATTGAACTAGCGAGACTTGACTCGCGGTATGTACATATAAAAAAACATAACCATCGACGTCAGAGTTATGTCATAACTTTAGCTAGAATATCTCCATCTCGGTATATACTTATGTTTCTTTTTTCCTTTGCATAAGATCGGAGTATGGTATTGTCAATTTATATTATATGTAGTTCAACACACGCGTCATCACTTGAGAAATGATTTTAATTGTTACTTAATAACTGTTGTCATGGCATTACAATTATGTTCATTTCTACCATGTGTAGATATTTCCTCTTTCATATTTATATATATTGCTGTAGTAATTATACTGCATGTCTTATTCCCTCTTCTAAAAAAATATATTAAAATATATATTATACTAAAATCATTAAAATAAAATTAGATGTATTAAAATTGATCAATGATGGAAATTTGAAATTTGACAAAATTCTTCACTAGATACAGAAATGCACAATAGTATAAATTATACATAGTCATGAGAAATTTTTATTTTTTTCCGAGTATACACCTGTACTCGTCTCGCAATGACACGCAACTTTTATTTATTGTATATCTGTTCATTGCAATCTCTGTTTCAGCCTCAATCATGCTAATAAGATATTTCTGGAATAACTGGAGGTATAGTAATGCCCCAGAGGGTCAACAGCCATTTGAAAAGGTGGTTGGGCTAAGTAAATATGGATTTATCACTGGTCTCGGGATTGGCACATACGATTCTGTAATGATATCTCAGACAACAGGCTTCTGGAGTACAGTAAATTGCATATCTTACTGGGTGGTGCCTCTTACTGCCATGTGCGCTACCTTTGCCTCCGTAGCTTATACAACGACAAAAATTAGGGGAAAAGATGACTATTTCAATTACATTGTAGCATGTATGTAACGTGTAAACGTATCAGCTATATATTCACCAGGAATAATTATTAAATTTCAATGTTTACTCGTTGCAGCATTAGCCACAGGTGGAGTCTTCTATCGCTGGCAGAGGAAAGGTCCGTTAACTTATAGTTGGACAATCGCAATAATTGCATGTGCCACAATAAAGAAATTCAGTGATCTGACTGGTTTTCAACCCTTACCGTTACATCCGGAAATTCGAGAAGAATATACTACTTTTCCATGGGACATGACCATCATTAAGGATCCCAGGGGACCTAGATCCTGGGAGTAATGACATTTCGTATGTAGAAGAAAAATAATTAGTGCTACTGATATATAAATCAAATGGGGATAAGTCATATTGTATAATTAATGATACAAAGAGATACGAAATGCATATATTTTGCTTTCGTCATGTATTTATTCGATTCTAGTACAGGAAATAAAAAGGATTGTAAAAAGAATGTATTGTGTGGAAGTATTACGTCAGCGTTTCACCCTTTGTGACCTATGAAATATAAATACAATTATGAAAGTATCAATATAAGTAAGTAATGTAAAATAAACAGTAGAAAAATATTTGATACAATAATACCACAAGAGAAGTGACACATTATAAGTAAACAAAACTGAGAAACAGATTATGTTATCTATAATCACACATAATGTAATCGAAATGTAAATAAATAAACAAATCACTTACGCATGCTTCGAGATATTCTATTCTCCGTTCGAGAGTTGTAAGCTTCTCATTGAGGACTGCTATTCTCGACCTACAAGACATATCTAACAAAAAAAGATATAATAAATAAGATTAAAGATATTAATTTAATAGCATTTTTACGAACACAATAAGAATTTAATGATAAATTACCGAAAGAATTAAGAAAGTCCGTAATCTTTTTAATACTGCCAGTAATAACTTCTATGTATTCGCGGTTAGCCCAGTCTTGTTGAATCTGTTTTTGTATTGCTTCTCGATGTATGGCTGCCATTCTCCTTGTTACTACGATATATTCTCTGTTCTGATTTTTCTCTGGTTAAATTGCCGATATTACTTGAACGATGAGCGAGAAGCGTTCTTTGATAATTCTATCGCATTATTTATATTGTTTGGAATGGTCAGTAGTGTCAGATGTTTAGATCGTAGATGACGTACTACATAGATCGACAAAAGCGAT